TTGTAAAAGAAATAGTATTCTAATGCATACTAAGTGATGAATAGATATATATATAAGTATTAATGCAATGAAACACTCCATCATCTTGCCGACACCAAAACTATATATTTTTTCTTCATCATATTCGTCTTCTTTTATAGTTTTTTTTTTTTTCTTCCTTCAATTCTTATTCATTCTATTTGATTCATTATTCTCAATAATGTATGCATCATATGAATGAGTGCCAACCTTCAAGTATTTCATATGCATCATATGAATGAGTGCCAACCTTCAAGTATTTCATTATTTTTCAACTGTAGAGTTTACCTTTTGCTTGCGAGTAGAGATTTTGGAGAAACTTTGTTATTGAGAGTGAGGATTCGTATAAACCCATGATTGCACCATAAATCTTACTACTGATAAGTGTGATTTTCCAAAAAACACTCACCACATCTTCCAGCTAAATCTTTTTCGTGAAGGAGCAAATAGAAGAAATAAAGCAAAAGCCATTAACAGTGGCAACTGGCGACATGATAGCTCCCAGGCCTTATAACTCCATAGTAAGTCCACAATATTGGAATTGACTAGCATTGATTTGTAATAATTAAATTTCTGATACGGAGGATCATCTTAAGATGCAACCGTAGAGCATACTCTTGTCATATTACAAACCGAGCTTTAGAGGGCAGAGACTCGTGCTGATAACGTGTTATAAAACTAGAGAGAAAAGAAAGAGAATAGAGAAAATATTTCTCTTAGGTACAATTTTCATTATAACTGAAGCTCCTATTTATAGGAAACTTCTGATGGCACAACCGTAATAATACAATTACATCGGGGGCAAAATAGTCATTCACATACATAAAATTAATGGTGGTGGACCATATATATTTATAACAGTTTTATTAATATGACCTATAATTTTGTTTGTTTCGTATTAATTTAAGTAAACGAACGAAAGTGAATGAGTTCGAGACATAATCACGAGTTTTTATCAGATATTCTGTTCGTTTACACATTTTGTGTGTGGTCTATTTGAGAAAAAATGTTATAAAAAAGTTAAAGTTACAATAATATACTAATATACTAGTACTAATACTCATGCACAATATGAGTGTTGAGTTAATGAATATATGTGTAAAATTAATTATGTCTTATACCAAACCTAACTCCAGAGCGAAGAAGAAGAAAAACGTTTATATATTTTTCATAGTTGGAAAAAAAAAGAAGAAGAAGAAAAAATTTGAAGATAGAAAAAAAACGTTAAAGGAGAATAAAAAAGCGGAAGAGAGAGAAAGAGGATGAAAAAAGAAGAGAGAAAAAAAAGAGGGAAAGAGAGAGAAATTGTGACCTTTCATTTTTTTGCTGAACCCCATTCGTAATTTTTTATTTTTCAATTTCTTTTATTTTTTCAAGTTTTTCTAAATTCGTCTAACTTTGGAGTATATTTGGTATTGTGGATGGGTGGAAACTGTTGTAGAATATTAATCTTAGATAGGGGCAGTTAGAAAATTTTCCCCTGCATAAGGTCACGAGTCCGTCTTCAGCATTTGGGATTCTTAGATCATTTGAGCCCACTTCGTGAACATGGACCATAAAATCTAGCCCAATCTTTGACCCTCCTCAATAACTATAGGGCAATTTACATGTATACTTAATTCATTTATAAATAATTGTAAAAATACTAGATAATAAACTTTATTTGCACATTTACCTAACCTAGCATAAATATTTAGATAAATACTACATACAAAAAATATTCTCTCTCCTCTCTCATTTATCTACTCCTAACAATTCTCATTTATTATCCTAACAATTTTCATTCATTACTCTATTTCTTGTTCCACATACTATATTTTGTATTCATCCGTTTTTTTTTCCTTCTCTCCTCCATAATATTCTCCTTCCATCCTCTCTCTTCTCTTTATCCATTCAATTTAAATTTAATTATCTCTTATGTAGATTCGTAAATTATTTTTTTACCGTAAATTTATATTTAATTTATTTTTCAGTTTATTA